TTTCAGTTTCCGAATCGGGGTTTTGGTTTGTGAGCCAGGGCTTTAGTTTCCAAATCAGGGTTTTCGTTTCCGGATCAGGGCTTTTAGTAGAGCAGTGCCTGGGCTAACTTATGGAAGTTTTTCAAAAAAGTTGCGCAACGACGTTGTTTTGTCACATGCCCGCCTCAGTGTCAGGATGTGGTGTACTACTCTGCAGACTTGCCTGCGCTGGCCGCCGCCATTGCTGCACACTTGCGCCTTGGACGCAACCAGAATCAAAGTCAAGTAAGATTGCATGATGCGCGCGAGTAGGCCAGTACAATTACTCGAAAGCAATTTAGCATGCGGGCTGGCAGCACCAGAAGTGTTTGACCAGGCAGCTTTCCATTCCGAGAGCTCTGAATCTCTGAGGCTTCCTGGAGGAATTGCATTCATCGCTGTGCCCAGGAGGCAGTGGCGCGGTGCGCAGGCAAGATGGAGAGTTCAAATTCTGCGGATGTTCAGAGGTTTCAGTTCCTTTATATCCGTTTCTTGGTTGTGTTCTTGGGACCGCTGCGAGCTGCAGGCGTCTGAGCGGAGTACCGCAGAGGACGTCTGCTTCAGATGTTTCAGACATTGGGCGCACAGGTTGCATGTGCACTGCAGAGCATTCATCACCAGGACCTGGTCAAAGCACTGGAGCCCTTTGGCAATGTTGAGGTGGAGGATCTTGTTGGTACCATGGCCTTTATGGAAGGGTACGTCATGCGCATTTGAAAGGCTGGCGCTCAGGACCAGAGAAAGGTGAGCATCAAAAGGCTAAGGCCACTTTTTTTTTCACCCCTTTCCTACACACTCAGGAGCACTCAATTGGCTTTCAAGTTGCATTGTGGATTCGCTATTCATGTCAGCTCATCAGCCACCGTAATGCCTTTCCTGAGCGCAAAGCTGCGTTTTTCTTTGTTGTTTTTGGCCGGATCATCCAAGGTTATTGTTGCACCCTGGACGAGAATCCTGTCGCACTTGTGCAGCTGCAAAGATCAGCTGACTAGCTTCTGATCCGAATTTTAAATCTCTATTCATCCCAGTATGATATTCAGCAACAACAGGTGACAGCTAAGGCATCCGGTTTGTGTCTGTCAAATCGTGCCAGATGATGATTCCAGCGGGGCTTAGCCAGCTGACGTAGCCAAGCGGACTCCAAAGCGGGCTGCTTGGGCCAAGCCGCATTCACGCTGACATCGATTTGAATCAAGGCCTCATCCACTTGACAATTTCATCAATTTTTACTGCTCGCAGGACCTGCTCGGCAATTTCCCACAAGAGGCTGCAATGATCTCCTTCTCGTCTGGCGCTCGTTTGCTCCCAAGGGTCGTGGTCAGGTAAGTGAGCTGGCTGCCAATGCATCCCACGCTGCCAGTGGTATGAACAGGATGCTTTGCTTGCGTCAGGGAATCGTTTCATTCAGACCATGCTGATGCCTTGACATGGCAGAAGGGCAGTGGGTAGTGTACCAAGAACCCGAGTAAGGAACGCAGTTGCTCTAATCCTTGGGTCCAAACTTTGTTTCCATGTTCTTTGCCGCGGAAACTCAGCACTTGCAGTTTGCATCGCATGCCAGGCATGACCTTGAAGCGCCTGAGCTGGATGTGAGCTGGCCTCAGACTTCGTAACTGGCGTATCCATATATAACAAAAAACACCGGCAAACAATGACACATATGCGCATAGTAAACTCAGACCGATGTGGCTGTCAGCGGACAACATGGGGTTTGTAGTAGACTTGGGCCGCCATTCCTCGACATACGCTTTGCACTAAGCTTTTGGGTGGCCATACCTGTGCCGAGCATGTGCGAGACACAGATATGTAACAACAGGCAGCGACAAAGGGTCCGCAAATAGGGTGTGTGTGTGGGGGCCCTGCGACAAAGCGGGCTCTTGATGCACAGCCATATTCAGATACACATGTACACATATATATACATATATGTACTGTCTCCATCTATATATATATACACAGATATTCATACATATGTATGGGCTATCGTATGTTTATAGCAGTCACAGATGGGAAGATGATCTTCTCGCCGCAAGAAGCTGCAAGACAGCTAGCAAACCAGATCAACACGTTCAAGTCGTGAGATGCAGGCTGGCTGTATATTATGCCCAATGTCACTTTGGCACCATTATCCACTGTCTTCATTTTGACAAGCAAACGCAGATGTAGTCGCTTGCCTCTGAACATGAGGAGAGCCTGCCATCCTCCGAACAACCGCAATGCCACTGAGCAGGACCTCTTCTTCTAAGTCTCTGCACTGTGCCTCAAAGCAGCTGCTTCCGTTACACAACTTGTCCTAATCCTTGCTTTTAACAGATCATCAAAAAGGAGCCTAACATGTGAGACGCCCTCCCAAGCCAAGCCTAAGCCTAAGCCAAGCCTGCGGCTTGCCTGCAGGAGATTATCCAACTGAGCCCGGACCTCAGCTTCGTCACTCACAGGCCCTGCGCACAGGCAATGGGGGTTCTCATCTTGGGAACCTGGTCATCATATGAGCAAAGCGTGTTGTCCCCATGGGGAGCTATGTGGCGATGACCGTAGCAACTATCCTGGTTCTTGAGCTGGGTCGCGTTGGGTGATGGCAAGTTTGTGGATTGCGGCTCAAGGGGGATTTCCTGCCCAAGTCCCACACCTCAAAGAATGTATCAAGTGGATTAAACTCACAAAACCTCATGAATACATGAATACTCAGTAGTTTTTGGACGGCCCCTATCCTCACACAAGCCTGGCGCAATCTTGTCCAGGATCTGGAATCTCCAAGACTTAACCACATTTCCACGAAACTGTAGTTTACTTCGACGAGATGAGGCTTCAGTCTTGCTGTAATTCAACTCCTCCTCCCATGAACTGCAAGGGTTCTTCTTATGGGTTGTACTTTCACTACGAAATTCCTTAAACCCAGAAACTCAGAGTCTCAGGCTTCACAGAGGAGATCAAAGCTGGCCATGGCTTTTTCGAGCTCTGGGACGTGGAGGATGAGAGTGGAGCCTTGACGAAAACCTGGCAAAATCTGTAGAAAATTGTAGTTTATAGGGGCTTTTCCACCCTGCCATAGTCTTGCCAGGTAATAAGAGCTATTTCCCTCCTGTAATACCATTTCAGATAGTAGGGGGAATGTCCTTTGCTGGGGGGATGTGTTTTCTATATGAGAGTAGCGGCAGGAAGGCAGGAGGAGGAGTAGAGGTATCATTGGTGTCAGTGGCACATGTGGAGTTGTAGTGGTGGCAGCACGGCAGCTACAGCAGGAAAAGTAGTAATGCTGCTATTTGCATGTTTCTGCACACGATATCACGACACATATCATTGACGTCCTCGGAGATGTTGAGGGTTAACTCTCGCATCGCATCCCATGCTGGTCTGTGTAGGCCTTGCAAGATCTTAAGTTTTTGCTGATCCAAGGACCTCAGTTTCGAATTGATGTCCAGCTCTTTGGCTGCATTGCCGTGGCTGTTTTTCCTTTCCTAGGTGTTCGAAGCCAGCCGGCAGTATGCACAGAGCTCAATTCCCATAGCGGAATACGTTGGTTGAAACCAAAACGGCCAAGTCTCAGCATCACCGAGTATCCAGCAAATCACGAAACATGGCATGTCTTAGCCTGCCGCCCTGCTGCCAGCCTCCAGGAAGCTTGCTGTCGAAAGCCTGGAGTTTCCTGGGCCTCAACCACGGTTCAGCAAGAACATGCTAGTCACTACTCGTAGGTTAGGGGTGAGGGTTAGGATTCAGGATTTTACCAGTAGGTCCGGAGGACCTTCTTTTGAGACATAGTCAGATTGCATGCCACAGATTGAAAACATCGTCAAAGGAGGGGCTACAACCAGGCAATCTGAAGCTCCGGGCTCTGTACTTGTTCGACTTTTCTTTGAACCATCCGTTGGCTAATGACGCCCAAGGCGCTCTCTGATCAGTGGACGGGTAGTCACTCTCATGTCCTCCGCCATCTGTGAAGGCTGGCAGCTTCATGCGAGGTTATGCAGCTTTGCAGTATGCACCTTGATATGTCAGGAGCTTCTTGATACCTATGCAACGATCTATCAACAGGATTCTGCATCCATCTTTGTATGCACGCTGCTTTGAGCTGATCAGCTTCATTTGGCTTCTTCCCGCAATGGTCCTACTTGAGCACCATTGCTTCCGCCTGACATTCCGCACACAGCAGGATGCTTTAGCAGCTGTGGGAATGCTTGATTAATTCATCCAGAGCTACCTGCGCGCAACCCATACACCGTCTTGAAGTAGCTCTTCATGCCTTGGCCAGCGGGATCCAACACAAAGAGGCATCACAAGAGGAGTCACAGACATGGATGTCAAATTCCTTTGCACTCGGAATTCTCGGACACAGAGACAATGCAGACAAAGCAGAATCAATTCCCCTTAGCCGGAGAGATACCTATTGCACCGCATCGCTGCTTTACGCACCATAGTGTCTGTAGATTGCAGCTGTTGGTCATTGGACGGTTTGGTTCCAACCCCGGCACTGCAGCCAGTTTACTGCAGCCATGAAAACACGTGAAGCCTCGCCGGGTGCAACATCCCGCGCGGCAGCCAGAGGCGTAGCTGGGTGACAAGATGGAGCATATGGAGCCTTTTCAGGGATCTTGCAGGATGGCGTCAGGATCTCAGGGCTAATTGCAAAAACGCTTCCGCTTTGATCGAGAAAGCTGAGCTGCTGCAATGTTTGTTGGGTGTTGGAGACAGCTTTGGCAATCTCAGGCAGCTCTGCAGCAGCCCATAGCCGCAGCGCTGGGAACAGGTGCTTTGTGCGGAGCTGTAGGCTGAAGAGAGTACAATAATTAGGTAGCCCTCTACCAGCAAAAGCCGTGGAGACTGGACGGAAGCAGAGGGTTGGTGCAGCTGTAAGCTGAAGATGCACGGCTTCTAATTTTGCAATTACATCAGGTAAAGTCAGTAGCAGCGAAGGTGAGGCGAAGCGAGGGAGCCCTGACCAGCTGACTTCCTGGTTGGCTCTGGCATCCTTCAGCGTGCTGATGACCTGCGTGCTGGCACAGCACTGGGCGGTCCGTTGTCAGCACTACGGATAGTCTTTCGCTACACAATGCTGGTCTGGCAAGTTCAAACCTCCTATGTCAGGTGCCGCCCATCGTTCCTGCGGATGCCCCACTCGCGGACGGGTTCAGTGCGGACAGAACACGAGATGCCAGCGGGCGTAGTGTGGAAGGATTTTGTTTGCTGTTAGTTCATGACGAGTTAGGAAGGTGCTGGAGCGCTTGAACCCGCGAACCACCTTCCGTTCGAGTGTAAGGTCTTGCACGACCTGGCTGCATGTGGCCCGAAGTACGTCGGGGCTGAGGGCAACGAGGTATGCGCCGTCGAGGCAGTTCTCAAGCAGACTCTCGGCAAATTGGCCTAAGCCAGCAACTCTTAAATTGGTCCCATGCGGCAACACCTTCAGTGTCTGCCTTGCCACGATGAGAACCCTATCATCAGTGCTTTCTTCTCTTTGTGGTATCTGCCTGACTCCGAGGATTGCGAAGTCGTCCAAAGGCCGAGAATCAAGGCTGACGTTGGAGACACAGTCTGCTTCCGGCCATTTCTATTTAGACTTCATTGGAGGCTTCACAGTGGCCTACCGAAACCTTACAAATTTGGTTGCACGAGTTCGCGGCCAAAGACCTGGCTGTGCTTTGCTTATCTCTTCCCACTTTGACTCAGCTATCGGATCTGTGGCAACATCGGACGCCAACGCGGAGATTGCCATAATGACCGATTTGCTGCGCTTGTTTCTGCATGATCCTCCGGATGTTGACGTTATTTTCAACTTCAATGGTGGTGAGGACTTCACCATACTTCAAGGGCCAAGGGAGTGAGTCTTGTACACGCGCTGCAATCAAGTGGAGTTGTTGATCATGAGCTCACCTAATTTCCAGCGGCAGCTGTTAATTCAGGTTTAAACACAAGCAGCGTCAGCAACGCAAGCCGCTCCCAGACCCTCAGCTGGTACAGCAACCGCAGGTGTTAGTCTAATGAGCATTCCAATTCAGCCGACCATTCATTGTCTGCTGTGGGTGGTTGGGGGCCGTTAATCTTGAATGTTGTGGACATGGCTGCCAAACAAGTGTGCAGCCACCTCTCACGCAACCGCGAGGAGTTTATTATGCCTGCTGCGCATGGCTTCGTGACCTCCCACCCGTGGGCTCCAGAGATCTGCGCGCAGGTCAACCTAGTCGCCTGGTGGCACACGTGGAGGCTTAATAGTGTCAGCAAGTCTGGAGTTTGGGAAGAGATTGAAGATGTACGTCGGGTGGTTTCCAGTCCTACAACACCCCAGGCAGAACTTGAGTCCTCCGAGAAAACCACAACTTTCTATCATTTTCGAAGGGCGACTTGCAAAATCATCCGACTGCAGCATCCCCAAACGATCCCATACGATAGCTCCATGATCTCCTCAGAGCCCTTTGTATCCGTAGGGACACTGAAGCATTAACACCTTAAGTCCTCAGCCTCAACCCCAACGACTAGCCCGATGTACCAGATTTTATCAGATTTTATCACATTTTATCATTGTAGCCGGGGCGTTTCTGTAGGAAGCCGCTGTTCCGAGGAAGCTGCAGGGTCGGGAGGCCGTGAGCTCCTCTTCCAGGTGCCCAAAATGGGGGTCTTCGGATTTTTTGGGTCAAGTTTTTGAGGCTTGCGGGGTTTTGGGTGGTTTTGAGGGGTTTCGGGGGGATTTAGGGTTTGAGCGTTCGGATTTGGGGTTCAGTCGCTTTAAAGGGTTGCTGTTCAGGTAGCCAAGTTTGTCTGAAGAACGTATGGGGCATTGGGCTCTTGAAGTTGAGTAGAGGGCAAAGCCCTACATGGTGCGTGAATCACGAGTGTATGAAAATCCACAATCCTATTGATTGCGGCAGGTGGGGCACCCCCGGATGTCAGACTTGGGAGCTTTGTAGGATGCTCCGCTTTCTTCGTGCTAGCTCCCTGCTGCATACCATCTCTGGGCACGGAAGAGGTTCGACAATGTTATGCGTGGATCAGTGGACTTGGATTTGTTTCCAAGTGTAAGGTCGGGGAGTCAACATCCTGAAGAGGGGGGCAGCTTGTATCCTTGACCTAGGCGCTTGCGAATTCTGGGCGGCTGTCTCACTGTAAGATGCCACTGGTAGCCTTCGGCTTTATGACAGGTCGGCCCGCAGAACCGGTGGATCGCAGAAGCCTATGGCCAAAGTGCAACCTGGCATTTACTAAGTCCAGTTCAAGGGTGGTTTGCTCAACATGGCGCGGCTTTTGCAGGGGGATCTTGTTGAGGTATTGTATTGGATTTCAACCCACACGAACCAAGAATTCGAGCAGCAATCCGACCTCAAATGGGGCTGGGAACAGAATCCAAACGGAAACGCGCCGGTCCCGAATGCCAGGATCCTTTGCACCCAAGGGTCCCTGTAGTGCATGCCTGCATTTCGGGCACGGCTTTGCGGTTTTGAGGATGTTCCGATGGTTACAGTCATAGGAGGCGGTTAGAGGCAACATTGATTTCTCAACATTCTTTGCTACGCATCATCCATCTTGGTCTAATTGGTATGAGTTTTCTTTTTACTGTTGGTACCCGCAGGCACACTAAGGGAAAGTCATGTTCAGCCCGACAGATTCATTGGACCACACAGTCCTCAAAAGGCTAGCAGCCGCGCCACTTGAAGAGTAATTAGCTTCACGAGTTCATCAGTTATCCCAAGGATGGGTCATGATTTCATGGCCAATATTTCCTGAGAATCCGTCAACGTACCCCAAATGCGCGAAAATTTCAAATCCCAAGCTGATGACTCTGATAGAAGACTGCAAATTCTCTAAATGTTCCTAAGGGCACCGCGAGATCCTTAAACCCAAAGCCCCCAAAGTACACCGATTTAGGGACCCTTTCAACCAAGGCCAGCAGGCCCTATGGATCCTCCATCACCCAGGTCTTGTTTCAGCTAGGCCAGGGAGGGGCCGCCTATGTAGGAAGGGGTTTTAAGGATGGTTTGAACTCCTAGGAAGATGATGGGGTGCCATATTGAGGGAGACTGCACACATGAAGCCTACCTAATGCGGGCACGGCGTGCATCCCTCGCCCAGGAAAATGTAGGAATGGTCATAAAGATCTTGCCGCTTGCAAATGGCACATTTCAGTTGCAGGAAACTGGCCTGTTTGTTGCCCGCATCAGCTACCTGTGAAGCTTTCCAGGCATCGTTCCTGGCGAAACAGACTACCGAGTCTATCGAGACTTTGGAAACATTCCAGGCGCTGCTCTTCCCTCAAATACTCGTAGCATGGGATGAGTGGGGAGATGTGGCATTACCATGACTGTTGTTCTCCTTGAGTTGCTTGTCGTTTAGACACTTTGCAATACCGCGAACTGCGAAGATCCGCTTGCAGAGTGCGAAGTTGGGAAACCGCGGGTTCAGCTTTGCAGGAGCGGATTTTGCCGTGCTGACCAACGGCTGGATCTACCACACCTGGCGTGACGATATAGCCCATCTCGACTTTCGCTCAGTTCAGAGGCTTGCTAGTTCAGAAACATGCATTCCATGCAGCCAGGCATGTTGCGGTGCAGATTCTCGGCTGGTTGGCAGCGACAGGGATGTAGTTGAGATATGTCGCATGCACATAGGATGGTCAGCGTGGCCAGCAGGTATGGAGACACCATCAACGAGTTCGCACGTGGCTTAGCCAAGAAGCTCCGCAACGGCCGGCCCACAGGCAGCCTTCAGTAGCCCCTGCAGCCAAAGTCAGCAATCTGGTCTTGGCTTGTTTGTGTTGTCAGATCTCATGATTGTGCAAGGCCGATCACAACAGTGCTCCTAGTTACTTAGGCTGTGCTGTGGATCCTGGCAGGAAGTGACGTGACTGACTCGGCGGTGTTCTTTGATATCGGGGGCGTCTTCTTTGTCGAGTACTCCGCAGATCTTGCAAGGACAGGCTCATCGGCTGATGCCATTTGGGGGTTCCCCAAAATTAGGGGTACCATTTGGGAGATCCAAATAATAAGGAGTATATTATTTTTGGATCTTTCGTGGCGTCACCTTTTTCGGGAGGCTGCTATCTGTGAGCTTCTGTAAATGCTTGAATCCAAAAAGAAACAGGCGAAGAGGGATGTTCTGTGCCTCGGAGCCACAATATGCACGATGCAGCAAAGCGCATGCTTAGTCCTGGACCAACAGACCTAGAAGTAACGCAAGATACGGCTTTTGGGGATCTGCCTTTGGGATCTTGGTGGGAGTTGAGGAAAGTTAACATGATCTGGCCCCAAACCTAAATCCTGAAAATCGAAATGCCACAGCTTGAGGGATCCTGCAAGAATTGCAGGAAACTACACGTCGCAGCTGCCATCGTCGTGCTCTCCAGCTTGTTGCCTGCTTTCCAGATTGCACAAGACACACTCACGATTATACCAAGAACAGACACAGCAAGACAAATACTGGCAAGGAAAGACGTATTTGGATCAGCAAGAATACCAAATGCATCGCAGGCACTGGGGTTTGATACGCGGACGCCTGCTGAGGCTGCTCAGGCGCGGAGTTGCGGCCTACGGAGTGATCTTGAAAGCTGCGGCGACGCCTGCATTGCATTAGATTGCATTAAGTCTCACAGCTCACTGACGTAAAAGAAGGGCACTTTCGCACCAAGGCTAGTCCAGAAAGAATGTCAAGGTGGCGGCTAGACGTCCTTTCCTAGTAGTTGCCTTAACTCGGACCATAGGGTCCAAAACGTCCTGAGATTCCCATTCGTTGCCAGAATTCTGTGACCTGACTTAGCTTCAACATTGAAAGGCCACTGCAGCAATGTGGACGCTGTCATGGCGATCTCATCATAATGTGCACTCTAAAGAAGCACCCTTTTGATGTCTGAGACCTTAAGGCACTAAGGCTTTGCTGGAAGGCAGAGGCCATCCAATGGTGTTCAGGCACTGGGTTCTCTCTTAGATAGCAGCCACATGATCCTAGTCCCCATTCCTAGGTATGGAAAGCCCCTTGTGTTTAAGATCAGGAAGCTCTTCATGGCCTTTCTATCATCGCTGCTTGCAGCCGCAATTACGGGCCTTTTAGCCTGGAGCCCAGTTAGGGGGTGGTTGGCTTGAGCTGCATATCTTCGTGGACGTTTGTGGGATGAAACAGTTTGTCTGAGAAGGGTTGAGTCGGCAAGTTGGGACGTTCGTTCCATTTTGATGTTGGCATTGGATCGGCAAGCTTCTGGCGTACATTATGCTCAACTCAAATTGGGAGTGCTCCTAAAGGATTCGGGTGTCCATGTTTGCAGCACAGGCGGAATTGGCATTGGCTCTTTACGTACAAGGGGTCGGGTGTGGTAGTCAAGTTCTTCTGGCTGCAAGATACATTTGGTGGGGAATAGCTGGGATTTGAAGTCTGCCCCTGAAATTAAAGCCCTATGAAGAACTACAGGAAGACTAGTGCTCTTATGGTGTTCCTTCAGGTGTAGTGTAGTCTAAGGGGCTCGCAGGTCCATTGAGTCCTGCTGGCTCCTGGCAGTCCTAATCCAAGTGGAATTGGGGGAGGGAGGCGCATGAACGTAGGACATGCTTTGCTGCTTTTTTGAAGTTAGGAGGGGGTTCTGCTACAGCACCATGTAGGAGGTCGTTACCGGACTTCAAGCCAAACATGCGATCCTTCTGGTGGTGCCTGCATGCTGGTGCATGGGGCGTGTGCTCTGCATTCTGGTGTCGTTCCTTTTTTTTTTTGTGCCCAGCCATCAACTAGACGTCTCTTAGACTAGAAGTTGTCTGGTTCAATTTGTGCATGTCTCATCTTGAAACAGCCCTGTGCCTGCATGCATCCGGAATGCCTTGTGCAGGCCCTCAGCTCATCGAACATGCCGAAACGTAGCAGCACGCGCAATGTGCATGTTCATAGTGTGCAATGACCGAGTCGCTTGACATAGTCTTTGTGCTAGCTTCTGGGCGAACAGCTGAACCCCATTTTGCAAGACAGCCCTGGGACATCAGCAAGAGCTGTTGCCCAAAGATGGCAACAGGCAACGAGCCGCTGCTGCAGGAGCCCCAGGGCCGACCGAGGCTGCTGAAACGCGCCAGTACGCTTCTGCTCACCTACTGGGAGCCCATCTGGTATTCCATTGTGAAAGGTGCGGTCACAATGAGGCTCTGCCTGGAATGATGGATGGAGATGTTCTGAGATTTGCTGGAAAGGGTCTGGGGAGGAAAACTAGGAGTAGTTTGTTGCAGCTTAGCCAAGCCCCTAACCCTAAATTCTAAACCGTAGTTTCCATTTTGTTTTCCATTATCCCAACAATGAGCCATAAGGATGGCGCTGCTGGTAACCATGGTGGGTCTGTCCATGAGCTACTGGGCTATTGTTACGGAACTTAAATTAAGTTACCATACTGAGTATTTATATGTATATATAGAGAGAGAGTAGTAGATGATAGGGTTTTCCCAATAAAGTAGCTTACATTAAGTTCCCTAACAGCAGCCAAGGCTATGTTTACGAGCTAGACGATGACCTCGACGGAGACCTCAACGACAAGGCATGTTACCCTATTGCGGCAGCCTTTTCGTAGGTGCCTAGCGACTAGCGACGCTTGAGCCATTATGTGTTTGACCCTGACCAGCATAGAAAGAATAGGAATAGTAGTAATCGTATAGTAATACAGTAATAGTAGTTATAGTTGTAATAGTAGTGACCACAGTAATTAAATGTAGTAAGTAATAGCATGATAACATTCGCTGGAGGCTGGCGGCTGGGCACAAGATCTTCTCTTGGCCTTGACAGCCATCCTCTTTGCTCTGTCAAGTCGCTTCGTATCTTCATTGGCACTGTATCAGGTAGCTCAAATGGCTCCCAAAACAGGGGGACTCTCTTCTAGACCCCAAAACATTACAATCCTGATTATGGGGACGTGGGAGGGGGTGGGGGAGGACTCAGGCTATAGCAGGTTCAGCCATCCAGCACACTGGCGTAGCATGGCTAGCTTCTTTCAAGGAACACGCTAGAGTCAGACTCTAAGCTGCTCGGGTTGATTTTTTCAACCACTCATGGGCTTGGCGTGCTGAGGTAGTTGAGGACAGGTTTGTGATCTTTTATGTCGGGACCGCCATGGCCTACGGTCTGGGAGCCGTCGCGCACTTCCTGGAAGACTCCACAGGCGCCGCAGGCCTGACAGCCTACTATGTCATCATGACGCTTGCCTTTGGGGGTGATGCTCTTCGGTCTGCTTATGGCTATGCGCTGCCGTGGTCCTCTCTGGTAAAGGGGCAGTGCATCTTCTCGCTGCTTACCTTCAGCTGCTTGTGCTTGGCTGCGGCAGCGACACTTCGGAGGCTGCTCCAGGGACACTCCGCCAGCGAAGTAAAAGAATCACCGCTCGGCCTTGCCTACAAGAGCACACAGATTGGAATGGGCTTCGTCTCCTCGAATCAATTTCAGGGAAGAGGTCTTGCCTTTCTTTACTTCATCCTAACTGCACCTAGAATGTGTCAATTTTGGCCGTAGTTAGTGGTCTTGTGAGGTCGAGATGTCTGGATCCATGGTTTGGTACTACTCCGTTCGCTTTGATCTGGGGCCCTGGGCTATGATCCCCACGGCCATGAATGTCTCGGCTTGGCTGCTTGTGAAGTTCCAGCCCGTGTTCCACGAGGCCTTCGGCTTTAAGACGACGATCTCGCATCAGCTGGCGCATTATATGCAGGTTGTCGTCATTTGGTTCTTGCACACAATTAATTTGCGGAAGGAGTTCAGCAGGAGAGAACTTCGTGAAGACTGCCTTTAATGACTGCAACAAACTTGGTCCGGTGGCCATGATAATTAGTGGCAGTGCTTTACAATCGTTGCGTCCTGCAGCAGAAAAGAAGCGTCTTCTTAAAGCCAAAGAGACCCAGCCACCCGCACCGCACAACCAGCTGCAACATCATGAATAGCAATCCTCACATATTCTGAAGCCCTCCGAGTCTCATTCACTGTGACGCTGTTGTGAGAGCTGTTGAAAGCCAGTTTCGACGTGTTACGGTTGATGGGAGGTTTTCTGCACCAAGCCCTAATGAGGCATGAAGAACAAGGGACCGTATGGGCTGATGATGGCTGATGCATTCGTTTTGCCGAAAGGATTTTTCACTTGCCCTGCGGTTGTTCTTTCCAGACAATACTTCGCAATATCGGCAGGACCACCTAACAGGCCTGATATTTGACACTACTTTCAGGTTCTGCGAGGTTGAGATTGCTGGCTGCTGCGTGGAGCAGTAATTCTCCGTGTTGGGAATACGATTGCTTTGATGTGACGAGTGTTGATCAGAGGTGAAGACCATTAGCAAACAATTAGTGGATCGTTTTTTGTAGACTCTCCAGTCATGTGGAAGGCGTCATCTCTCCAAGCCGCGTCTACTCCCAGTAAACCTCTAGAATTGTTTCCCAACATAGGGGGTGCGTTGCATGGGGTCGCTTTGATCACGATCCCCATCAAGTCGCCGGAACCTTCCCCCTAAACTCTTTACCTTTTTCTTGAACCCCAGCTGAGATGTTCGTAATCCTGATAAGGTGGCTTTCACGCCGGCAGCGCTTGCCGGCTCGGGGCACCCAGAGCTTGCCCCGCTGTGCCTGGGCACACATGGAATGCAGGGGCCTGGAGCATTCTAGGGGCATACGCGAGACTACTTGGGGGTTTGTAACCCGTTTTGAAGAGCGGGACACCAGTTTCCCTGGAAACGGCCACAAGTTTCCCATTCAGTCTCATGCTTTTTGTTTCCTTGCTAGTTGTAGGCTTGAAGGTTCAGGATGTGTATCATTTTCTTGAGGGGGCTCGGGTTGTTTGCTGCCTTTTTAGAATTGTTCAGATAAGCTAGTGTGATGCAGGACCCTGCAATCGAGTTCCAAAAATGCCTGGTCAGGAATGGAATCTTGGGCCTCCTTGTTCCTTCCAAGGCCATGAACCAGTCTGGATGAGAACTCACAACACTGCATGAACCCCTACTTCGGCTCGCAGCACAGTAGTTGCAAAGCCTGATCATATGGCTCAGCTTCAAACCAAAGAAGCTACCTCGCTGCCTGGCTTGCTACAAGTAAGAAAGGCTTCAGGCAATGACCATTTCTGTATCATGAACTCTATGTAGTTGCTCTGAACCATCACGTTCAATACTGCTATTCATAATCAAAGTGCCGGCGAGAACCATGCTGCTGTCGATGCGAACGCTCATCACGTACTGCGGAATTCTGCCAGCACCGAGGCTGTTTGTTCCCCCTGCGCTGGCGGCGTTTTTAGGCCACTCCGCTGAGTTCGGGTATCATGAGCACAACGATATGGTAGGCTAGTTCCCGTGCGTGCCCGCCTGCGCGTGGTGACGCGTTCTACTTTCCGCCTAGCCGCAATCTCAAAGCAAGGGTTAACGGTAATGATGATCCTAACGATGATGGTCACATCTTCGTCTTCACTTGCAAGGCTGCCTGAAACTGCTGGGCCGCGACGAGGACATTGTTGAAGAAGGCCCGGCTCCAAGTTCAGTCTTTTGTCAACTTAGGGTATATATTGAGGTTATACAATATATAGGGATGATGGAAAAGAAAATGGAAGCTAGTATTGATACTGGAAAAATCTGTTTCATGTAATGCGGCAGTTGGATCAGTTGCATCCAAACAGCTCCGCTAGGTCAAACCTTCCTGGAGCCTGCAGCCGACCCTCTAAGATCCTTTCAGATCCAACTCAGACTTGTTGGTCCTCTTCCATCTTCCAGGGCCGTCCTGTTGACTATACGGTAGCTGGTCACATGGAGTTGTTGACCTTGAGCAGAGGGAAGCAGCTGCGCAGGGAAGTCAATACGTGCTAACCTTTCAGAAGTCAAATGCTTTGTTAGCAGATGGCCCGAGCAACAATCGGCTCTTACCCGTACGCCAGCATGCAGGAGTCCCAAGCCTGTAATAGCAATTACGTGTTCCAGACTGTGCAGACTGCACCTTACTTGATCACGATACGTTTTGCTCCAGAGCACTTAAACTGCGAGCGCAGTCGCGCAAAAACTTGCGAAGGCAATGATAGGTGTTACAAGTCCATTAATGATGAAGCTGTCAAGATTGCAATTACAGGAAGCACAGCGGAATTGACAAGACGGATAATCAGCAGCATTGCACGCCGTGCAGGCTCCATTGCGCTGGGCGCGCTGCTCTGCCTGGGCCTCTCGCTGAGCTCTGTGGCCGTGCTGGCATCTTATCCGTAGCTTGATACTATTAGTTTCTGAGTGTTGGAGCGTGATTTCTTCCACAGGCACCGTACGGTTTTGTTTGTGATGCAGATGATGTGTACTTGAGCGGTTCATAGCAGTTCAATCTGCTCGACAGCTTAATCAATTTTGCGCTTGCACAAGCTGGAAAGTCAAAGGCTGTATGTGAGCACCAAAATCTTGCAAGATTGAACCGATGACACCCGCTACGACATCTTGGGTGGAAACTTCACACTCGGCATACAGTGGCTTGAAGCAAGTGGCCCTGCGGCTACTTCCACCACCAACACTGACTCTGTTTTGCGGCCTTTGTACTCGTAGGTTCCTTCTTTGGTCCGCACTGCCCGCGCTGGCGGCATTCTGCCCTCGGCCGATGCGTGCAGTTTCAACCACAGCAGCTTTTGCAGCTTGGTGCCAGTGTGTAGCAAGTTAGAGGGATAATGGGGTTTGGATGGGCGATGCAAAATTGTGCACGGGCTCGAAAAGTTTATCTGATGAGCGGAGACCCAGAAAAAGAGCATCTCGGTGTGGAGTTTGAAAGCTTTCGCGTTAGGGAATACGATTGTAAGTGCGCTAGCACATGTCATTGCACCTTGAGCAGCAACCATTCCTACTCATGTGGCTGGACTAGGCGAAAGGGCTCTCCTGGACGTCTGTTAAGATTATGATAAACTCCGCCCCACTTCTTCACCCCACTGCTGATACTAAATTCCCCTATATAGAAACACTATCTATTAGGAAGGGCTATCGATCAGGAGTTCGAGAGGCTCTGGGCTGGTGATGTTTTCGAACGTTCTGCAGTTCTGCGTTGTTCTTTGGGCGCTGACACGGGATACGCGGAGACTTATGTCTCTGGTTCTAGGCAGTTTGTTCAGTTGCTTGGTGTTAGCTGGGGATGCAAGAATACGTTATGGGAAGCTTTTCAAAGGGGTCATGCAAGGACTGCTATAGGGATCCATTCGTCCAGTCCCTAGTAACCATTCGTGAGTTCAGCGGTGGAAGAGCTCCTCGCTGCTGAGGTTCTGCCATGGCTACTTCACCTGCAGTTCCTTGTTTTGGCCTTGGATCTGCTCTGCCCTCTCACTTTCAGATGCTCAGCTCATAGCAGTTCTTGCTGATGGATACTTGGGTTGGAAGCTCATCGTCTAATTTGGCAACAGAGTGCCGCGTGCCATGACCCTAACGCTCACATTGATTTCCTGTCAAGTTTGAGGAAGTGGAACCTCTGTCCCTGGAGATGTTGTCATTGGGGCCACGTTTGGCCTGATGACTGGTCTTTTCTTGGCGCTGTCGGCGCGCTTCATCTTGTGCCTGCAGCAGAAAGTTGAGCAGTGCAGAGTCTGCAGCCTTTAGTCCATCCGCGAGAGAGTAAGCTAGCTGTGATGTTACCAGCTATTCCAAGGCCCATTCCTCACTGGGCCACAAAGATGCTGTGCCTCATCACCTTCGTCATGGCCTTTGGTCTGGCGCCCCTGGGCGCTACAGCGTTCTGAGCAAACATCAGGGGCCATGTTGCGCGCTCCCTCTCTTAGCTGAAATGTTACGTACATGAGCTAGGAAACTGCTGCGCCTGTTGCTGCTGTTCTGCAGTTGTTATGACTCATTGGATCAAAGGTTTTGGATCTTCCCATACAGCTTCGACCGTCCCAAGCGCATTATCTATCAGCACCTTGGTTGCAGTCGAACTGCAGCCGGTGCAGCAACATGTGGGAGCCTTCCCATGTCTAGGGACTGGGAGGCTCGCTACCGCGGGCTACTCTTATCTGGGCACTTAGCTTCCTGCAAGCCCGTGAGCGTATCTAAGGCATACTGCGCGCTCACAGGTCACGTGGAGTATGGAGGCAGGTTGGCGAAGCTTACGCATCTTATCACGAAGTTGGACAGCGACATCTCCAATTTTGGGAGATAGTGTTTAGTTGTTAGAATGGATGCTGGGATAGAATTATGGAGTTGTCACGCACAATTCACAATTTGGTATCAGGTCGGCCTGATAAAGCCATAGAAGACCCCTTCTCTACATTGTGTTTACCCAGGCTTTGCTGCTTCATATTCTCCACTGCATGCAGTCAGCTCAACCAAAGACGATACGAGCCGCACTTTGGAGGGGGGGGGGGGGGTAGAAGTCATTCTGAGCTGTGCTACGAGGGATATGGCAGAGTGATGGCCTGGTAAGCCCTGCAGCCATCTAGAGCAGTGGGGAGAAGCATACGCGGACAGCCACCTGGAGTGAAATCGGCCAGCAGTCCATGTCTGGGCATTTCCTTTTTGCGGTTGTGAACCAACTTCCAAACCGCAGCCAGTCAAAATTTTGTCCCCTCTTCTGCTCAAGTCTATGTGCCCCCTCCCCTGGGGAGGGTCACTGGGGCGATGCCCAGAGCTGGATGGTGCTCGGTCCTACGATGTCGGCCACCAAGTACCGGTGGCCAATCATACACTGCCAGTCATCACAACAAACAAAAGCTGTCAAATGCTGCTCCAATACACATAAGCCATGCACAGCATCTGTCCTGAAACCAGCCACCAATCCAAAAGCACACGCTGCTTGTTGTGTTAGGCAAACCATCCGAGTTTGTAGTTTTTCCTACAAACAGGGACTCCTTAAGTGGACATTTAAATTTGAGAAAACCCTTGTAACAGGCAGATGGGACAGCCAAAGCGCACTGGGAGCCCATGGAGAGTGGGATCTGGACGGCCTCCCGAATTGTTTGAGAAGGGCTTAGGCACCGTTACAATTTCTAGCACCCCCCGGCCCCTGCATAGCAGCTGTCCGAAGAGTAGTGCTAGCTGCTAACTCCAACCATTGTTTGCGCTTTGCATCTGACACGCGTTGAGGTCCAAAGTTTCAGGTTCAGTTGTTAAGACCCTTGTTTCCAGTTTTTGGGCTGGGGATGGGGCGCTGGTCTCGATTTGGGGTTGTGGGTCAGGGTTAGAAGCGAGAAGCCCTTGGCTGTGACAATGGAACAACTGGCTCCATTAGCGCGCTTCGATGTGTCACGTTGAGTTGACGTACACACTTGCTGATGGGTAAGGATGAGGAAGCGGCTTTCCACAGAAACATTTCTGACCCACCCCAATGTGGATCCTGTAGCGCCAAGAAACGGACGCCCTACTCCCCAGACTTTCCCAAATGCACAAATTGTTGACTGAAGAGCCAGGCCTCCCAAGACTGGAACAATGTGGATACTATGCGAAAGTTCGCACCTTATGGCTTGCCGAGCGGCTCGAAATGGCACAACAACAGCATGGGGACTCTTGGCTAGCGAGATGCCCTTTTCATCTTCTTTCCGAGTGGCCTCGACTGATGATGATGATGATGATGATGATGAGGATGATTACACAACTGTTGATGATACCTCCGCATCAGGTCAGTTTTGACATGCCGGCAACAACAGGCAACCATCCTGCTGCGTTTTTCTCTATTGGGGTGTTGATCGTTGTAGAGGGGATTTTCGTGAGTCTTCTGTTTTGGGACTCTGCATAAGAGGATGCTCCGTGATAGCCTGCTGAAACAGCTTGTAGCGCGCATGTTGCGTTCCTGCGTGGCATTGGGCTGCCTTATGTAAGTTCTACACTTTGCACTTGCATGATTGCTACAGAACGTGAGGCTGTACGGCCAAGTGCCGTTTCCCTTCCCGCTGAAATGGCTGACCCTCGGCGGAGCTTGGGCGCAGAGACCTCCGCCGGAGATTCCAGTTCCTATTGCCGCGTCTCGTCGTGAAAGCTTGTGGGACTGCAAGCTGGTTTCGAGAGCTAGTGACTATAGTGGTCATCTAACAATTGTATGCATAAGGAACAATTGTTTTACCATCCACCGCCTTCACGATGTAGGTGACCTTGGCAAACTACTTCACCAAACCTCATACAGAGCAAGCAGAGAGAACTCGGCTCCTGCTTTTGTCCACCTTACGCGGCAGGTACAGCTTTCATCTCTTCCCAACACCGATGCAGGACCCCCGTGGTTCCAACTGATTAAAAGGAGCGGTCGGTTCTTTTGTGAAGAGGTTTGTAGCTGCGGAAGGATGCCATTCCGCGGCTTCTTTGCTTCTGGGAATGATCCATTTCATTTTCCATTTTCTTTTCCATTTGATTTTCCATTATAGTAGTTTCCATTTTCTTTTCCATTATCCCAGTATAGCTTAATATTACAGCCCTGTATAACCATATAATATGGCAGTTTCCATTTTCTTTTTCATTATCCCAATATAACCCCAATATTACCCCTACATAATCCCAGCTTCCATTTCATTTTCCATTTTCTTTTCCATTTGACTCTCCATTCTATACCCTAAACCCTAAATAGTAGTTTCCATTTTATTTTCCATTATCCTAAGTTGCTCCAGGAGGTGAGAGCTTGCGCAGTGTAGACATCTCCGTGTCTGGCCCTCCCAACATGATGCTCGTGCTGGGACCTTTGCTGCTCAGCCAGAATTGTAGTTTGCAGTTTATGTGAGCCATAGTCTAAACTCCTTAAAGGGGATTTACATAGGGGATTATATAGGGGACTACTATAGGGGATATCAAGGGGGATACTAGGAGTTTAGACTATAGCTCATGTGCGTTTCTTGGGTCTTGTCTCCAGCGCTTGCAAATCACACTTTGCTTCCGTGCTTGCCTCTTCTTTGTTTTGCCAGAAAGCGTGTCAATGTCTCATATCTGAGCCAACTTCCGGATGGAAAAAAGGGTTGGTAGTTTCCCGAAATTGGGGGTACTCTTTTGGGGGTCCCTACAATAAGGACTATAGTATATTGGGGTCTATATTGGGGTCCCCTCATTTAGGGAAACTACCATATATGAAGCAACTATTCAGGGTTTAGGGGTCTAGGGGTTTAGGGTATGCCAGGTCCTCTATCAAGGCCTGGTCCTTTGGGCGCTATGCCACTGTGGCGGATGCCGCAGACCTCCAGCTTGCTGCAACTGGACCTGATTGCTACATATTATGTATTATATTATAGTATATTATAATACAGTATATGATATTATACTGTAGTATGGTGTATTATAGTATATAAAAGTCTATTAAACTATATTATAGTATAGTACAGTATACTACTGTATGATATATTACAGTATGTTATAGTCGTCTATTATCTCATGCTTTGTTGGAATGAAGTTGTCAGCTGTGCTCGAAGGCTGAGAGGCTGAAAGGTCCAGCTTAAGTGGTTACCTGCTAATATTATATATATATATATATTCCCTAGTTTCCATTTGATTTTCCATTTTCTTTTCCATTTGATTTTCCATTATAGTAGTTTCCATTTTCTTTTCCATTATCCCAATATAGCTTAATATCATACCCTATGCCCCTCCTGGTAGCTCAGAAGTCCAGGTTTAACTTGGCTATTGTAATGCGCATGGTAGGTCAAGTCATGTCAATTCGGGGTCTCCAAGGTTGATATGGGTCAACTACCGAAGCAGCTGCCCTTCAAGCGTATGGACTGCGACTGCATGTTCCTGCTGCCCGTCAGCATGTCCCCGTGTGCCTGGTGCATCCTCCTTGCCTTTTAAAAGATTCGACTTGTCCTGCCGAAGGGGTCAAAGCTCCCCGCGAGGCTCTTTGCAGAAGGCGGTAGAAGCCCGAGCAACGGCCGAGCCGAAGCTTTCAACTTCACGTGACTTGGCACAAAAACTGAGCTACCACCACTGTACTAGATTGACGGTGGAGCTGCAGGATGCTGCAGGGGGAACGGCAACTGAGGGTGTCGGCGTCTCTGGGTGAGTTGGACATGGACATTTGGAGCCTTAACTTGGAGAAGTCCAGTCCGGAGCTAAAGCACGAGGAGGACGGGGCAGAAAACCAGCTCACGAAGCCATCACGAGGAGAGATCTTCTCAGTTGATATCATCGCCAGTGTCAGGTTGGAGCAGTCGTCAGAGGCCCTTGATCCCAGTAACTAAGCCTTCACGCCCAATCATTCACTGCGTGAAGCTGAGGGCCTTGAATTCTTTATGCCATAGCACCACAATGAAAATAGGTCGTCTTCTTGTTATGTGGAATCGTCATGATGACAAGTATACCCACAGCTTCATCACAGCTCTTCAATTGCTGCAGGAGCGAACTCCGAGTTGGGTGAATTTCTATGGCTGGACAGCAGAACTGCAGGCAGTTCAGTCAATGAGCCGCACTCGAAGTCCTCAAATGAAGAGATCCTCTTGAAGTTGGCTTCCTTTTCTGGGTCACTCGCAGATTGTAGTACTTTTTGGACTGGTGGCTCCCAGGGCACCCTGATTTTGAAACACAAGTGCGCTTCTGGTCTGCCTTCAACAGCAGTAGCGAACTTCTCCTAAATCAGAAATGCTGACCATCTGGCCTTCGGGACCCAATCTGCAAGCTGAGATATGTAAGCCTGAAAAGGTCCCAACACACATAATCACACATACATATTGAACCAACAACATGTATGTGTCAAGCACACATGCATGCACACGTTCGTAGAGTCGATACAGGACTTTGTTCTTGCAACGTCCCCTGTTCCGTCAAGCCCTCACTGTAAGGGGCAAGAGCCAGATGCGCTTACATGACGTAGAATCCCGGAGAACCGCTGATATCTTCGAATCTTGTTTTCTCATAGCCCTGTTGTAGAACAGCAGTCTTTCAGGCCCCAATGTTGCCCTGGTAGTCCCCCTGCCTTTCCTCTGCAATCCAGTTCATATAAATTCCCAGCATATCTGCGATTCGTGCCAAGCTCTTGGAACACTCCCAATCACTCAAAACCTGCTCCTCTCTTGTGAGATGTCTTGGCAGGTGCACCGGCACCTTGGCACAACGGGTCTATGATCTGTTTTAGTTTTCTGCGGTTCACCTGGCAGCTGGATTGTTCAATGCTGTTCCACCGTTTCTTCTCCCGTCAATTGTAGTCGCATTTTGCCATAGGGCAGAATGGTAAAGCGCCATCACTGCCGAAGGAGCTGGAGCAGTATTTGCTTGTCCTCCTCCTTGGGCGAGTTAGCAACAACATATGCTCGGACTGAGGATGCTGCTGTGAGCATCGTCGCGGCGGCACAGGGAAGGAGTGTGGAAAGATCGTGTGTGCTAGACTTTGACATCTTGCTATGCAACTTGACGGTTATGCCGGGGATCTGTGTGCCGC